TAAGCAGTATTACCTTTCTTGTTCCCCATTGGGAACCACAATAAAAGCACTACTGCTCATTCTGAAAAATTCTTTATTAAAACCTTCTTTAAAACATCTTACACATGACACACAGTGGAAACTCACAAAATTAAAACGGATACTTCGATCTACCTGTTGCAACCCTTAGTCCTTCTATAGTGCAGTCAATAAAGAAACAATGATTAAATGTTGGTGAGAATAAGACTCCCATCTAAGACTAGGAGCTGAACATCCCAAAAGTTCTACTGCAGCTAAAGGAGGATCTCCTAAATGACACCATTTTGATTGTACAAAAGACATTTAAAATAGCGTAATAAAAACATTACATAAATTCATACTATACAATACGCTATGATGACCTTTAACAATATAATAAGCTATTTTAAAGGAACTCTAGAACATATTAAGAATATTATAATTTAAGTTTCCTCAGTAATGATTATTATTCTAGGCACTACAGCTAATAAATTGAGGGAAGTTATATTCTAAAATTGGTTTCTAATAGGTTCTCTATGGAACAGCAAAGTAATTAAAGGCTATTGGTTTTGTTTTACGATTTGCAACCTCTAAGGAACAAAGTAATAGGTTACCTGTAAAAAGCAATTATTATGTTGCCTTTTGCGCATGCTCCCGGAGTATCCTTTTTTTGTAATCACTTTGATACATCTACATAAGAGGTTTTTGTATAAGAGAAGTTTCAGAGCACTAGAATGTTACTAATTAGGAAAGGGCATAATGAATACGCAAGGGTGTATTTAAAACTCAATTGCTGGTTATCGTTAATATTCACACATGAAGTAGGAGCAGCCCTGTGAAATGTGTAGGAATAAGGCAAGAACTGAGACTAAGCTGTTGATACTTCCTGAAGAACTATGGTGTGAGCTGCACAGGACAAAAACATTTGCTGGACATAATTGGGCACTAGTATAGGGAGTGCAGAATTATTAGGCAAGTTGTATTTTTGAGGATTAATTTTATTATTGAACAACCATGTTCTCAATGAACCCAAAAAACTCATTAATATCAAAGCTGAATATTTTTGGAAGTAGTTTTTAGTTATAGCTATGTTAGGGGGATATCTGTGTGTGCAGGTGACTATTACTGTGCATAATTATTAGGCAACTTAACAAAAAACAAATATATACCCATTTCAATTATTTATTATTACCAGTGAAACCAATATAACATCTCAACATTCACAAATATACATTTCTGACATTCAAAAACAAAACAAAAACAAATCAGTGACCAATATAGCCACCTTTCTTTGCAAGGACACTCAAAAGCCTGCCATCCATGGATTCTGTCAGTGTTTTGATCTGTTCACCATCAACATTGCGTGCAGCAGCAACCACAGCCTCCCAGACACTGTTCAGAGAGGTGTACTGTTTTCCCTCCTTGTAAATCTCACATTTGATGATGGACCACAGGTTCTCAATGGGGTTCAGATCAGGTGAACAAGGAGGCCATGTCATTAGATTTTCTTCTTTTATACCCTTTCTTGCCAGCCACGCTGTGGAGTACTTGGACGCGTGTGATGGAGCATTGTCCTGCATGAAAATCATGTTTTTCTTGAAGGATGCAGACTTCTTCCTGTACCACTGCTTGAAGAAGGTGTCTTCCAGGAACTGGCAGTAGGACTGGGAGTTGAGCTTGACTCCATCCTCAACCCGAAAAGGCCCCACAAGCTCATCTTTGATGATACCAGCCCAAACCAGTACTCCACCTCCACCTTGCTGGCGTCTGAGTCGGACTGGAGCTCTCTGCCCTTTACCAATCCAGCCACGGGCCCATCCATCTGGCCCATCAAGACTCACTCTCATTTCATCAGTCCATAAAACCTTAGAAAAATCAGTCTTGAGATATTTCTTGGCCCAGTCTTGACGTTTCAGCTTGTGTGTCTTGTTCAGTGGTGGTCGTCTTTCAGCCTTTCTTACCTTGGCCATGTCTCTGAGTATTGCACACCTTGTGCTTTTGGGCACTCCAGTGATGTTGCAGCTCTGAAATATGGCCAAACTGGTGGCAAGTGGCATCGTGGCAGCTGCACGCTTGACTTTTCTCAGTTCATGGGCAGTTATTTTGCGCCTTGGTTTTTCCACACGCTTCTTGCGACCCTGTTGACTATTTTGAATGAAACGCTTGATTGTTCGATGATCACGCTTCAGAAGCTTTGCAATTTTAAGAGTGCTGCATCCCTCTGCAAGATATCTCACTATTTTTTACTTTTCTGAGCCTGTCAAGTCCTTCTTTTGACCCATTTTGCCAAAGGAAAGGAAGTTGCCTAATAATTATGCACACCTGATATAGGGTGTTGATGTCATTAGACCACACCCCTTCTCATTACAGAGATGCACATCACCTAATATGCTTAATTGGTAGTAGGCTTTCGAGCCTATACAGCTTGGAGTAAGACAACATGCATAAAGAGGATGGTGTGGTCAAAATACTCATTTGCCTAATAATTCTGCACTCCCTGTACAAAACAATGCAGTTTTTTTTTTTCTCATACAGGCAAGACTACCCACCCCCAACAAGGACAAATTCTCCCCCAGCTGTAGCTGAAAAGCATGGTCACACAGCTGTTAAAGAGGTGGTCTCTCCTTCATGAGTCAAAATCATATATATATTTATACTAATATTCTGTGTATACGCACACATAAATCTATTATTCACTGAATCTGCTTTACTAAACGTATCTTTTTCTTAACTACTAATTTACTAGACAAATCCATGAATGCCAAACAAATGTAAATTAGTACACAAACAGGGTCAAATTTAGCAATAAAACCTGGTGAACTAGTTTAGTGAAAAGTCTTTTCCTATGCAAATGGTAGCAAACAATGAAACTAGGCCTCAACTCATTCACACCATGTGGTCAATGGTGGATTAAAATCCACATGGTCAGACAAAAGGTAAAGTATATATAAGTTTTCTCCTATATACAAATGACCAAAGATTGGTAATAAGCAACACAATAATTCATCACTATGTTCTACAACAAGATACCTTAAAAACAAATATCTAATCCCTATCTGCTATCTGCATTCATTCCATTAAAACCAAATCATCATTCATTTATTCATTTCTATACAGACAGACAATTTACTGTATTATTTAAGCAAAATGCATAACATTTATATTTTCCCCAATATTCAAGCATAATCCTGCCGACTACGACAAATGTTGTGGTTGTGACCTAAATATGAATATTAATCTCTTAATACATAATAATTAAGCAATACGGAACAACATTAATATTTTTATAATTCATGGTATTATGGTCGAATATGTGGATAGAAAATACACAAAACGTTGTAATATTAAATGTATATTTAATATAACTATAACAAATAAACAGATGCTAGCAGAATGTCAATTTACTACAATTATGATATAATACAAAACTAAAGGTTGCTACATGTTACACAACATTCTACTTACTAGGCCCCAGCCCTTTGGCTGGGGTTAAGTCAGAGCTGGTACTACATCTTAGGTTCAGTCAGGTACAGGCAAAGAGACAGAATTTTCTCCTCCATCTGGTTTTTTTTCAGTGTAAGTAGGCTGGCCTGTGATGTCACTGCCAGAAGCACATGTCTTCCTACACACTCCCCCTAGTGGTGCCCCCAAAGCATTACACTAAATATGCTTTCTTTATGATGTAAAGTCATTAATTAATAAATACCATTACAACCATCATCTGCTTGCTGAGATCCAACGGGCCACTCAACTTTCACTTCAAAGATTTAGGTATTACATTTATACACATAATCAGATATGTATCATTTTCACTCAACACTGTCCTAACTAATGAGATTGCAGTTATTAAAATATGCAAAAAACTATTACGTTCCCTTCTTCCAAAATCCTCCCCCAGTTATATATTCTATTTGCCACATCATTATGTCTGACAATTCAAACATGGTTTTGAGCAGTAATGATGCAAGACAGTGAGATGACCGGTAGGACACAGGCAACACTACAGGATCAATAAGGTATGTTTATTAGTGGGTTTACCACCTCACAAAATAAAGTGCAACCTTTGGTCTCAGCAGAGCCTTAATCATGCATCATGAAATCTGATGAATTATCATTTTTTTGTAAATCTTTGTTTTATTGAAGCAATGTGAGTTTGTTACAGAATAGAAGAAAAGGGTGAATAATATATCAGCGAGTAATCGTACAATTGCAATAACTATTAACATTGATAAATATTCTTATGAATGTCTGCTTCATTTTATATTTTAAAGGATGTCAGGTTAGCTCGGTATGTATGATTGTGATAGTGCAGTGGTAGTATAGATTCACTCGGCTGCAATGCTCGTCTAGGTAGGTTAATGAAAGAGTGATGCAAGACTAAATGGGGTCTCAGACACACATTGGGCAAGTAGTTTGTGAGTCAGGCTGAAGTCGTTGTGTTGGTAATACTATATGGTTTTGGCAACAAACAGGCTAATCGTGTTGTTTCATTCAATGTCACTGCGGTTTGTCGGTTGTTGCCACATGCTAGGTTTGTTAACACATATGTTAGTTGAGGGGGGCAGCTTAGTAGCGACCATAAAAACAGCTGGGTTATCTGTGTGACCTGAACGTGTGTTTTGTCGTGTTATGTGCAAACTAAATTCAATAGCTGGTGAGCCAGGCACCTGTACGGTCTGTTCTCCACACATCACTAGTTTAAAGACAAAGCAGAAAATAAATCTTTTAGGCTAGTACTAGCAATGCCTGCTTAACGATTGTTATTTAGCTATTTGAGTCAGCCAGTCTGTCTTTTTGATATATGTTAATAAAGTATTTTTTAGACCTTTAATCTATGGACAGATTCTTCTCGATCTCTAGTTATTTAGCTAACGTTCAGGCTATAAGGGATAAAGCAAAATGTACTACGCTGAGTTAACAATGGTGCCCTGCAGGTAACATCGTGCAGGTAACCCCCCCCCCCCGGTCCAGAGGGGGTGGGATCAGGACTGGGTCCGCGTGTTTGTCGGGCAGGATAGTGGTGCGGCGGCCGTCCACTCCACTCACTGCCAGACGAGGTCCCGCCTGATGCAGCAGGGATCTCTCCTCCGAGGGACTAAAACTCCGGGAGCAAGCCTCTCCTCAGCTCAGGCAGCCCGTACACTTCAAGGGTCGCAGTTATTGGTAGGTTATTTCTCCCAAAATCTCGATTTGCAAGCTTTGAGTCTTATTTTGCAGGAGCTGATCTTTCTTGCGACCGCTCAGCTCGGCGCGCCCCCATGAATTATCTTCTTGATAAACATACATTGATAGATATTGTTGCTTGTTGAGACAGGATTCTGTCTATTAATTTTTAACAAACCATCTTACCAGCATTGTGTAAATAACCACTCTGAGACTCCACCAATCCACGGCTCTGGTGTAATTTTCGCTCTTGAGAATTTCAGGAGCCATGTAATCTAATGTTCCACAACGACTCATGGTTCGTTCTCCATATCCGATTCCTCAGAAAGAGACAAAAGATAGTTGTATTTAAATTGAAGATGGATGTTCCCTGCCTATAAGTTACATTTCCATATATCTGTCAGCATAATTTTCTACTAGTTTTAATTTTTTAATCATTAACTGGGCTCTTATCCACATGTTGTTTCAATGATTCCTTGTTACAAATGATATTAATTTAAGCTTTGATATCTTTGTTTCATTTGTGCACTCTATATTATGTACACTTATGTGTACGGCAGGCAATATTTTACATATATAACTTAGACCATACAATAAACACAGACACAGTTTATTTATATTTCAATGGTCTTGGCTGTGGTGTTAATTTAAAGCTTAAAAGGGGCATACCACCATAACTTGATAACGGTAACATATTTACATAATATTTTCAATTTACTTCCAAAACTTTGACTTTCACCATCACTTAATTGCCAGTCAGTCATAGCTAACCTGACCGCCTTTTATATACAACCATTTAACACATATCCTTCCTCAGAACTTTAACCTGAGGATGACTATGCCCCAATGCTATCCAACACCACAACATTAATTATAAAGAAAATTATCAAGTAGTGGAGGAAGGGAGGGCGTGGCCAGAAACCAATCCCCAGCCAGCTCTTTTCTCTAGCAACAGCAGTGTCACCCAAATCTGCCCAGTTACTTGTCCCACTCTGCCCAACAACCTGACCAGGGGTTATGAACTTTCATTAAACTTTCCCTAACTGTACCAACAGGACAGGTTAACCCTTTATTACCACCATACATATATGCCACAGTGCTTAATGCCTGTGGCATCTTTATGTATGGGAGTCAATATTTTGCATAAATAACTTAGACCCTACAATAAACAGACACAGTTTATTTATATTTCAGTGGGCTTGGCTGTGGTTTTTATTTAAAGCTTAAAAGGGTCATACCACCATAACTTGATAATGGTAACATATTCACATAAACTTTTCACTTTACTTCCAAAACTCTTCACTTTCACCTTCACTTTATTGCCGGTCAGTCATAGCTAACCTGACCGCCTTTTATATACAAACATTTAACACATATCCTTCCTCAGAACTTGAGGATGTCTTTGCCCCACCGCCTCAGCTGAGGCCCCCACTGCAAAGGCCCTTTCTATCATGTTTCGCAAATCCACATTAAAATGTCAAGACCAATATATGACAAATGAGCCTGGTCCTTACTAAACAGACCCTCTTCTTTCTGATCCAATTCTAAATGCCTGTAGGAAAACAAGGCAAAATTGTGACATTGCTAACTTCAATTCTTTACGCCCTCTCTCCCGCGCCTTTAACTCTCGGTTTACTAGCCATCGCCAGCACTGTGCCATCTCTGACCAAACTAGAATGGTGTAAGGGAATAACTTTCTCAATTCCAAACGAACACTTTAAACATTATGTAATAACTGAACGGATTTATTAACTGATATATAATATATGAATTATTAAAATATCTAGAGCAGGCCAGTTGATGCTCACTCCAATCTGAGCTTCATTAACTGATGAATTCGCAGACCACCTACTCCATCCGATGTAGTGCAACATCATCCTGACTGAAGTCTAAATTCAGGCCACAAATCCTTGCTCCTGCTCTTTGCTTGGCCCGTTTTACAAGGAATTACCTACAACCCAAACATTTGTTATGATACCTGAAGAAATAATAAGAGTGAAGGGAGGAAAGAAAAAACATTAACTCATGTCATCTCACACAAATAACTTAAAACAATTTTACTCCCACCTTCCAATCTTCTTAATTGCCTCTGTTCCAAAACCTAATTTAGCTGCTTCAGTTTCTGCCCCAAATCTGAAAGAATGTGTTGGCAAATATGCCTTAATAATCAAGCCTTTCGAAGCATACCTGCAAAACCCTCTGGAATTGAAAACGTGATAGAGGAGAGCCTGAGATATGCACCAACAGAGGACCATGTACCACAGGGGGGACAGCTAAAGAAGCGCGCAAAGTCTCCACTGGGCAACTTCTGCCTTCCTTTCAACCAAATATCTACCTGTGAATCCTTTATAACATGTATGACGTCTGAATCTACTGAAAGAAACACTCACAGATCCTAAATGCTGCAAAAGGCTAAAGAAAAGCTTCTGAAAACAAATATTCTTCGAATTGTAAATAACAGAGTTTAGGCATCAAGCAAATCTCCTAACACTGAATAAGCTATGGGACGCCTACACTCAGCAACTCGAACCCCTTTAAAAATAACCTTATAACAGTAGGGAATGCGATTGTGATTAAACAGTTATTTTAGGTAAGCCAGCTTTAAACGTCTGGAGATACAATTATTAATACATTGAATCACAAAAGAGAAGGCAGCTTCTATATTACCATGTACTGGATCAACCAGTCCAGATTAATTGCCAAAGGCATTTTTTGCAATTCCACGCACTCTTCTTCTGTATTCGGCACTAAACTTCTAAAAAGCGCTGAGCTGACGACGAGAGATAGCACCAGCTATTTTATTCTCAATACCCAGAATATGCACAGCCTTCAACCAAATTTTCTGTTTAGAACATAACCATACTAGCTTTTGCAACAAATTTAAAAAAGCCACCTTTAGAATGCATTGAATTAATGAGATGTACCACCGACTTATTGTCACAGCAGAACCAATTTGTGTACTCTGCAGTTCCTTGTCTAAATTGCTGATACAATTGGCAACAGTTCCAGCAGAGTTAAATTCATGGTTAACCCTTGCTCCACCCACCCATTCATCTGGCCACTGCACAAAAGCCCTTTTTTTTTTTTGTTCCAGAATATGCCAAAACCAACTGACCCTGACCCTGCGACATCCACAAATAATCCTAAAGCTTCATTACCCTGAAATTCTGTTTCCAATAATGAACAGCCAATGCATTCTTGTAATAATTGATCCCAAACTTTTGTCTTTAAAGGACCACTATAGTGCCACTATAAAGGACCACTACTTACCTCTTACCTCTTTCTCCAGCGCCGGGCGGGGAGCTCTCCTCCTCCTCGGCTGAATGCGCATGCGCATTTCTCCTCCTCCTCAAAGCCACATTCCTCCTCTGACTCCTCTTCCTCACAATCCTCTTCCAGCGTTGCCGCAGGTCCAGCAAGCGATGCTGATAAGGCTGTTTCTGGTGGTGATGGTGACCACAACTCTTCCTCTTCACGCTCATCTACGGCCTGATCCAGCACTCTTCGCAGGGCACGCCCCAGGAAGAAAACAAATGGTATGTCGCTGATGGTGCCTTCGGTGCGACTGACTAGGTTTGTCACCTTCTCAAAAGGACGCGTGAGCCTACAGGCATTGCGCATGAGCGTCCAGTAATGTGGCAAAAAAATTCCCAGCTCCGCAGAGGTTGTCCTAGCACCCCGGTCATACAAATACTCGTTAAAGGCTTTTTCTTGTTGGAGCAGGCGGTCGAACATTAGGAGTGTTCAGTTCCAACGTGTCCGGCTGTCGCAAATCAAGCGCCTCACTGGCATGTCTTTTCGCCGCTGGATATCTGAAAAGTGCGCCATGGCCGTGTAGGAACGCCTGAAATGGCCACACACCTCCCTGGCCTGCTTCAGGACGTCCTGTAAGCCTGGGTACTTATGCACAAAGCGTTGTACGATCAGATTACACACATGTGCCATGCAGGGCACATGTCAACTTGCCCAAATGCAGTGCCGCCAACAAATTTCTTCCATTGTCACAAACCACTTTGCCGATCTCCAGTTGGTGCGGAGTCAGCCACTGATCCACCTGTGCGTTCAGGGCGGACAGGAGTGCTGGTCCGGTGTGACTCTCTGCTTTCAGGCAAGTCAACCCCAAGACGGCGTGACACTGCCGTATCCGGGATGTGGAATAGTACCTGGGGAGCTGGGGGGGTGCCGTTGATGTGGAGCAAGACGCAGCAGCAGAAGAGGACTCAGCCGAGGAGGTTATGGAAGAGGATGGAGTAGGAGGAGCAGAGGAGGTGGCAGCAGGCCTGCCTGCAAGTCGGGGCGGTGTCACCAACTCCTCTGCAGAGCCACGCATTCCATGCTTGGTAGCCATCAGCAGGTTTACCCAATGCGCAGTGTAGGTGATATACCTGCCCTGACCATACTTTGCAGACCAGGTATCAGTGGTCAGATGGACCCTTGCCCCAACACTGTGTGCCAGACATGCCATTACTTCCTTTTGCACAATCGAGTACAGGTTGGGGATTGCCTTTTGTGCAAAGAAATTTCGGCCGGGTACCTTCCACTGCGGTGTGCCAATATCTACAAATTTTTTGAACGCCTCAGACTCCACCAGCTTGTATGGTAAAAGCTGGCGGGCTAAGAGTTCAGTCAAGCCAGCTGTCAGACGCCGGGCAAGGGGGTGACTTTGTGACATTGGCTTCTTACGTTTAAACATGTCCTTGACAGACACCTGACTGTCGGCAGATGAGCAGGAACTGCTCAAGGCGAGAGACGGAGGCGCAGGCGCGGATGGTTGAGAGGGGGTAAGGAGGACAGCAGTGGTTAACGTGGCTGAAGATGCTGGACCAGGAGGAGGATGGCGGCTTTGAGTTTGTGTGTTGCTTGTACTCATGTGTTGATCCCATAGGTGTCTGTGATGTGCGATCATGTGCCTTTGCAAAGCAGTTGTATCTAGGTGGGTGTTGGACTTCCCACGACTCAGTTTCTTTTGGCACAGGTTGCAAATGGCATCGCTGTTGTCAGAGGCAGACAGACAAAAAAAAAAGCCACACTGCTGAGCTCTTCAATGACGGCATTCTGGTGGTGGTGGCAACAGCATGCGTTGATTGG